ACTCCATCTCCCTCCACGTACTCAACTCCAATCCCCCTCACACTTTCCCCTAAATACATCACCCCCCCATACATACTAACTGTCATTAAACATTCTTCACCCCCCAAAAAAATCGCCAGAAGTCCTCTCAACTCTAATCTTGCACCTCCTTTCATACTTTACTTTTTCTCTCAATACATACATACACACAGACACACACAAACAACCAGACTGTGCTGCACACATCTGGTGCTCAATACATTTGTTGGCTCCTCATCCCCTGAGCTGCAGCAGACGCATTACTGACCCTTCTAACCCAGCCAAGTACAATCCATCTCAACAGTGAAACAAATACTTTCATGGAACCTCCATGGATCTGCGGCACCTGCAGTCCCAGGTGAAGTCATTGAGTCATGTTCACAGCCAAACACTACCCCTAAAACCTTGAGTGCAAATCACATACTCTTTCAACCTCTTAAAAGCTGAGCTGGTGCGTTTGCTCAGGCACCAGATTCAGCACACTAGAAGCAGGGAAATAACGCTGCCATTTCTGAACTGCTGGGGAATATTCTGTACTTTCCTGCTGGTCTCTAATTGACTGGGAATTTTTAGGAGCGGAATTGATTTTCTCCTGGTGTTCCACAATGGCTCAAAAGTTACAAACGTCTGTCAGTGAACACGGGGTTAAACCAAAAGCCTTCAGCACTCCGAGTGCTAAGATGCCATGTGCATTACCTCTGTGTGAGTACTTTTGGTCCTTGAATCAGCACATGATCTTTGCTTATCATAACATTATCACTGAGCTTGCTCCAGATTAGACTCCAAGACAGTGGGAGGCTTTGTCTTTATCTCCTAAACTACTCATAATGTGAAGGCCAGAGAGCTGCCAGTGGTAATCACCGACAACAGCACTGGGCTGCTGATCATGAGGCGATTAACCATGCCTTTCCTAACATGTGCTGCAGCAACCTTAGAATTGCAGAAAATCTTCTGAATTGAACCACAATTTATAATGGCTGAGGGTTTTAGTGTCAGGGGTGTTTGACGAAAACACATTTAGTGAAATAAACATCTCTCTTGTTCCTTTTATTTGATTATTTCCTTCCCAGCATTTCTTTGGTTTTTCGCTTTAAACTCAGGGTTCCTCACTTCCTCTCTCTGATTTTTCTCCTGGTTTTTCGCACTCTCAAGTTCTTGGTTTTAATCGTTTCGTTTTATTGTGTTTCATTTGCTCCCTTTATTGTTTCCAGCTTTTTCTTCCCCTCCTCTCATTATTTACACCTCACCTCTCCTTGACAGGATTGGGGATAATAGGCAGTCACTGATATAGAGCTGCTCAAGCACTGTAGGTACAAGGCCTCTGGGGACTCTTTACTGTAGCCTTTAGGTTGCGTTTGAAGCCTATCTCTATCCTGTTGGGTAAAAAAGAAACATTGCATTTTTATAGCACCATATCAAGCTGAAACGTCTCAAAGCACTTCATGGGTGATTACTGTAATGGGCAGTGACTTTTTTGTAGGCAAAAAAACTCGGACCTTTGCTGCAAACGTGGCAGCCGTTTGCACCACCAAACAGCCATTCAATGAATAATGAATTAATCTAGAGGGATTGTTGGCCAGAGCACCATAAAAAAAAACTCCCTTCTTTTTGAACAGTGTCATAGGATCTTTAACATCCACCCGAACAGGCAGACTGGATCTTGGCTTCATGCCTATTCCAATAGATGGCACCTCTGACAATGCAGTGCTCCACCAGAACTGCTCTGAGTGTCAGTCTAAATGACAAGTCCATAAAAAAAGTCCCACAGTCAGAATGTCCCTGACATTGTTTCCTGCCACGCGTAGGAAGCCCCATTGATGCCAATTTATGTAAAAATGCCGTCAGTGGCATTTCACTTGCACAAGTGATGTCACCAACAACAAACAGATCCAGATAACCACATTATAACAGGGTCAACCTATCAATCTACATGTCCACCTGTACCCGCAAACTCTCAGCTCCACTGTTCTCAAGCTTCACAACTGCACTTTCCTGACCCAAAGCTGAAGCTTCACTCCAAGTGCCCTGCCTGACCCAGCTCTTTCCACGAATGTTCCGAGACTGGGAATGATCCGGGACTGGGAATGCTCTGAATGCAACAATTAAGATCCAAACCAACCATCCGCTGCTGTGAGGGGAAGCAGGTTGGCACAAGAATGTGCAGCACTATGAATCTGTGGATTTTTAATGCTGGGTGTTGTGTAAAGCAGACTTTGAGAACTTGACAGAACTTTGCAATATCTCACCCCTTACGATACTTTTTCGCAGACTTGAAGGTTCAGACTTTTTGACTTTGTCTTCATTGGTTTGGATTTCAGAGCCAGACATGCTGACCATCCCTGCATCCCAGAGCTGCAAGTCAGGGTCTCAGAAATGTGCAGAGCAAGGGATGGCAGAGTAATAAACAGACGCAACAGGCTTGGTTCCCTGCTACCGCTGCCATTGAAGTTATTGAGTGTACGAGGCAAGCTGCCAATGATCAGTAGAGATGCTCTGAATCAGTCAGGCCAATTAGCCAGAAGAGTAGATTACTGACTGTGAACGTGGTACAGATTTCCACTATTACACAGCCACTTCAATGAGAAGCTTCAATGTAATTCTCTCCCCTACCCCGGACAGTTTTGTGAAATTCACTCCCTGTTTATTGACCAGGTTTTGGGAGAGTTTTGAATCTTGTCTTCATGTTGGAGGGTGGGGCGGAAATATAGAGAAAGAGGGAGAAGCGTTCCATTGTTAAACTGAGGAGGGTTGATAGCTTTTAAAAAACACGGCCCACAACTCTGAAGATCACCTCTGGGGTGAGCAGCAGTTCTTCCCAAGGCAGGGCTCGCCCTTCATGTTACAGCTCTGACCCTACAATCAAAGCTGCCTTTAGCAATAGCGCAGGAATTAATCAAATTTGCCATTGAGTAAAGAAACAGTGCTAAGTACTTAAAGCAATGATGCTGGTTCAGAATGCTCACAGCGTACACGTCAGTAGAGACCCAGAAATGCCCATATCCACTGTGCTCGGATTGCAGATCTGCTCGCTGAGTGGAGTCGAGTGTATTAACAGCATGGATATAATGTAAACAAAGTGGCTCCTTTTCATGTTGGTCCAACTGAGCAGATGGGCGACAACAGCAGGATATTATTGTACTCTGATATGTTGTATTTAGATATGATCAGGAAGTGAACTGGGCCTATGTCACCAGCAGGGATACTGAGGGGGAAATTAAACTTAAAACAAACACTGCATTAATTTAAGCGTCTTGCTTTTTGCTCCCATTCTTGGGTTTTTCTCGACACTGTTCGAATGGCTGACGTTTTAAAAACCTGTGTTCACTGCTGGGTGCTTCATGAGAATAAGTTGTCTTTTCAGACTAACCCGACTAACTGGCTAAGCAGACATTTTCAAAATGTTCATAGGACAATACATTAACTGCTTTGTTAGTGCTTATGTGCACCCTAGCACGGCAGCATCCAGGTGCTCAAAATTCCACCTATTTTTACTCTTAAGACAATCTCAATTTCAGATTATGCGGAATTATTTAATTCAGTTGTAATTTGGGAGCTGGTTTTCTGTATGTTTTTCAAAAGGCTTGGGTAGCCAAACTCCCAACTCATAGGTATATAAGCCTGGTTCAGTTGGTAATACTCTCCCCTCTAACAGAGACTGCTGGGTACAGGTGAGATACAGCAGACAACTATGTGATACAGAGATTGCTGGAGACAAGTGAAATAGAGAATTCAGATGGATGTAGAGCAGACTCTAACTCCATCAGTATGATCGCATCATGAATAGCTGAACATAAAATGCCTTCCCCAGGAGCCCTCTAATCAATGGTACTAAAGTACAAACCACAGAAGCAAAAGGCGACCAAGACAAGTTAGTAAAGGTAGAGATGTGTCCCCTTGGAGCGATCCAATAACAGTGGGGCAAATCAGGTGAATGCTTCTCCTCTTACTGTGTGTGTGTGCACAGCCCACATGGTAGGTGCTAGAAGCATCATTAGCAAGGCTGCAAGAACTGAAGTGATCAGAGAGGAACCAATTAACACACTGTAATGATAACAGAGAGGGAGAGAGGCGGGGGGGTGCAGGGGGGAAGACTTCAAGCCGGGTGGCTCGTCCACTTCAATCTTGAGAGGCAGCACTGCAGGGCTGTTATTTGGCCAGTATAAAAAGCCGGGTCTCATTTGCCAACAGGCAGCTTCCAGTTCAGTGCAAGAACAACAGTGGTTGTCTGTGACACCCATCAGATAACAGGCACCTTCTGGTAAATATAAATGTTGATGTCTCTCTCTGTAGGCAAGCACTGAGCCTCTGCACAATGCTCCCCAGAGTGTATGCCTGAGCCCAGAGAATCGGCTGGTGAAGAAAATACTACCTATGACTCTTACCACTCAGCAAACTAACATGCAACGCTCTCACTTTGCAGCATCCTGTGGCCTATGCATTAGTCTCTAAGTTTTCACAACCTGGGGATGGAATACAGGAGACATAGCTCAAGGTATGTCTTGTTTTGTTGGAGACCAACTTGTGTCCATTCACTGTAGTTAACACCATCACCTGGCTTGGGGATTTTTTCACCCACAAAATACGGTCAATTCACTTTACAGTATATTCTGTGAAGCGCTTTGAGACGTCTTGAAGACTTGATAAGACACTGTATCAAATGCAAGGATTATTATTATTTAAAGGTTCCCATTCCATCCTCCAACGTGTCCTGATGAACGGAGGTTTGGTGCCTGTCACAAGATTCAAAGTTTTAAAAACGCCAGCCTCTCCCTCCTGGAAGCCATGTTCCTGCCAAGCAGTTACAAGCGCAGAGAAACAGCGCAGAAAGGGTTAATGCCCAAGCTCGTTTTAAAACTGCTGGCATCAAACATTTAATTTCAACACTACGAAGGAAATGAAACTCTCTGAGGAACCATATAAGTGTCATCCTTAATATACAAGGGAGAGAGAGAGAGAGAGAAAAAAAAGTATTTTGCACTTACCCTATCTTCGTGAACAGCTTCCCATGGGCATGGAGGAAATTCAGGATAAATCTTTTGTTCAGCTGTTTTTCGGAAGGGGGGGGTGTGGGTGGGTGGGTGGGAGAGGTGGAAGGGAAGGAAAGAGAAAGGGGGAGAGAGAGAGAGGGAGAGAGAGAGAGACACACAATTAATCTACACACAGCATGTTCTTATCAGCAGCAAGCATCTGAGACGGAGGACAGCATGACCACAGCTCGGTGGCAAGAAGCAGATGCTCGGAGCAGGAGACGTGCCCAGTCACACAGGCCCGCGGCTCCTGCCAAGCCTCCCCGACGGTGCAGCACCGTGACTCTGAGCTGCCCTCTGCTGGCACTCGGCCTCACACTACATCTGCTCTGCAATCCCCAAATTGACATGACATACGGGGTCTGATCTCCGAGTCCATTGCCCAAACGGAGGGGAAAGAGGGGGGGGGGGGGAGGTCAGCATTAACAGCAAGACATTTGTTCGCAGTTTGCATCAGATTAATAATCCCTCTGTAGAAACGAGGTCAAGACACGCCACTGAGCGGTAGTGTGCATCTTGTGTGTAAGCCCTCGTCCGTCCAGAGCCTTGGGGTGTCCGTCTGATGTGAAAGGCACTATGTAAATGCAAGTTGGTGTTGTTGCAGCTGCAATCAAGGCAAATATTTGGTGGGTTTGGCCCACCAAATACACAGTCAATCTAATTCACAGTATATCATGAGGAGGGCTTTGAGACAAAGCAAATTATCAGCTCGAGCTGCACATCTTCAAATCACTGGGCAATTCTCTGACAGAATGCCATCGTCACCATCCTTCTCTAGTAGCTCCATAGCCACCACAAACTTTTACTGACTTCCCAATCTCTGGTCTGGTGCTATTTGGAGAGGCCAGGCACAACCTACCCCTCAACCCACTCTCACTCCCTGGCAGTTGCTCAGCAACGTTAGCAGAAACTGCCTGCTCTCAAACAGTGATTCATACTGGGTAACAGGCAAGACTGGTTTGGTACAAATTCACACAGCGTAGCCACTTGCTTTCTCACGTTTATTTTAGATTGTATTTAGCTTTGAGACTCCAGTGAAGTTTAAACAAGCTACTGGCTGCATCAGTAAACAGAACAAAATGCTGCCCCGGTGACCTAGTGGTTAATGGCACCACCCACGATACAATTAGCCCACACAGCCCAAGATGTTGTGAGTTCAAGATCTTCACTGGGGAGCAGTTGGGCACAATCATTAGTTGTATCCTGAGTTAGATTGGGGGTGGAGGAAGAATATCAACCAGGTGTTCCCCTCCTGAATGCAGTGTACACAGCTGCTCAACCATGGGCAGCTTCACACCCCTGCCCTGATACCACCCAACATCCATACCGGCGTTCCCTCCAGCAGGGATCTCTGCGTGCTCATCGGGAGCTTACACTGATTTTCCCCCTCCCAGAACCCAGGGGTGGTATAGTTGTTCACCTGAGGTCCAATGATTCAGGTGAAACCAAGATAAGAATCTCCGATTTTAGGGGAGGAGTGAGGTAATCACACCCAAACCCGCTCTTGTTTGCACCTAAACACTTTCAATTTCCAACAGGGATCAGGTCAACTGATAAACGTTTTCAGGAATGATGGCCTAAGGGCATGAAGGCAAAATGCAATGGCTTCACTGCTGCTTGTTGAGATCAGCTAACTTAGCACAGACTGGCTACTGAACCAAGTGCATCTGTGGTTCAGTGCTAAACTGAGCATCGACTGGCTGTATCAAGTGAGCCCTTAGGTAAGGTCAGCTTAAACAGGTGGATATAATTATAATAATATTCCTTGCATTTGCACAATATATCACGTCTTTGAGATGTCTCAAAGCGCTTCGCAGAATATGCCGTAAAGTTAATTGACTGTAAAGAGACGTCTAGAATTCGTGAAAAGCGCTATATCAAATGCAAAGATTATTATATATGTCAATTTCCAATTTGTTCATCTGCAGGACTTTGCCTTTTCTTTTTTTGACTGTATATATTTGTGGGCGAAAGGTTAAAGATCTCACAATACTTTCGAAAAGAGAAGGGGGTTTCTCCCGGCTCCCTGACTGACAAACTGCTTACGGCGGTTAGTGAGAATTTGGCACGCAAACAGCCGCTGCTGATTTGCCCGTTTTTCTTTTTTAGAAATCACTCTGACACGTAAGGCACAATAAGAACGCTACGTTCATTCTTTCTACTTAAAACTCTTCAAAGATATAATTTGATCGGCAACATGAAAATAGTGCACCAGGGTTTTGCCCTACAGAGCCCCATACACAGTGCGGAAGTGAGCACGTTTCAGAGCAGAGCCTAAATTAAACAATGGCAGCCGTGGAACCAGGAGTTAGCTTTGTTTCCTATTGACACACAGAGTTTCACTTACATGGGGATGTGTAGGTGTGTGTGTGTGCGTGTGTGGTGGTGGGGGGGCGGGTGGGGGTTGTACATAGGACAAAAATTACTTTCACGTGCATTCTATAAAACACGCTAAGGTATAAATATAGCAACATCAACAATATGAAGAATAAGGGGGAGGGCAGGGGGCGAAAAAGCATTGGGCTTCCATTTTGTTGCAATGTTAGTGCAACGACTGAAAAGCTGAAGCAGGTGGTATTGCTGCTGGCTGATACGAACTGTAAAACGTTTCTTCCAACGTGCATATTCGCCAGTGCTGCATGGATCTTGTCACGTCCCCGGGCCACATTTGCGGTTTTGTGTGTAACCAAGCCAACTTAAAACTGGCACACACTCTGGTCGGCCACAGTGATACGAGAGCACTGGAAACCAACAATACTTCTTGAAATGAGTCGTGGTAGTCTTACCACTTCAGAAGTGGTTAAGTTGACCGGGGTCACACAGCGCATGATACAAGCTGAACTGTCTGTGACACCAGTCAAATCATTGCAGCACCCAGTACCCTGCACTTCCTCTGCTGGGGTTTGACTGGGCTTTGACGCAATCTATTTGGGAACTACCCGTTTGCTGCTAATCTAGTTTCTCCCAGGAAACAAGCTAATAGGCATATTAACTGTGCGAGTGAATTAAAAATAAGGGTATTCCAGTTAGGACTGAGGCTGGAATGGAATTCTCACAGAGTATTAGGATTTGGGGGAAACATCGCCCAGTTACCGATAAGGATCAATTAATGGATTTGTGAAGATGGATAGATACTGAAAAGAAGACATTTTGACAGGTTACGAGGAAGGAGAATAATCTTTGCATTTGATCTAATGATTTATCAGGTCATCAAGATATTTCAAAGTTCTTTGCATGATTTACAGTAAAGTGTAGTGATCGGGCGTACATAGGCAGCCAATTTGCGCTTTGCAAACATCCATGAAGTGGGCTAGGCCAGGTACGGGTGCTTGGCGCCACAGGCTGGACTGTGTAGGCTGAATAGCTTCTCCTCTTTCTCTCTTCCAATGTGCGGTGAGATGATCAACTGGTCACAAATTAAGCTGTCAATGAAATATGTAGCGGTATAGCCCCATGGACACAGATACCTTCCCCAATATCTCACCTTAGCGACTCTGCTTCACTTCGCATTCGATAGCTAATTTGGCAAATCATTTAGCTCTTATTTTTATTAAACTTTCAGATGGTTTCTGATGGCTCTTTCTGTCCTGTACATTCCTTTGCTACTGTGTAATTTAATTTGGGAATACGAGAGATAGAGCAGTGCAGGATTATTTATTATTTTTTCAAAATTGTGTTTTTTTTAAACTTTTTTTGAGACCAGCCAGATGGACGGTAATTGTCCTTTTTGGGCCTGCGCATTCCTGTCAGGCTGGATCCTCAGTGCCAGCAGGATGTTTGACCGTGGGGACATCACAGCACGATCAATCCTTTCTCGACCACACCTTTGGTCGCCCTTCTACCCTCCCTAATCAACCCCTGCTCGGGTCCAAATCCCCGAGTGTGCAGCGCCTTGGGAAATCCACCCGATGTGAAAGACACTGTACAAATGTGGTAAGTCTGGAAGATTCTTCCTCTATCCCTCCACCTTGCCCCTTCCTTCCCCAGCTTCAGATCGTGCCTGAAGACCTTTCTCCTCGACCGTGCCTACAGTCACCTCCCAACTCCCCCCGGCTCGGCGGTGTGCTCCACCACTGTCAAGCGCTCTGGGACGCTACCCAGTGTGAGGGAGCAATATAAATGCAAGTTGTTGTTGTTGAAATGTTCGCCTGTAGGCAGGCAGCATACCGGCAGGCAACAACCTCACAAATTACACTTGTATGGCACCTTTCACGTCGGGAGCATGTCCCAAAGCGCTGGACAGTCAATCAAGGATGTAAAGATCAGCAGGAGCAGACACATTGGCTGATCGGGCAGCAATGGCTAACTAAGCAGAAGTAGGACAAAACCTGCAAGCTTGCACATGACTCAGTTCTACACCAGGAGGTTATCCACTGGGAGAACCTGTAGAGCAACATTTTATATTTTAAAAAAAAACCTTGGTTTCTATCACTTGACACAGAGCTTTATATGCAACAAACAGAAAGTGACGGCAACGTGGAGCAAAATACTTTTCCACCGTTTGTCCCAAGTGTCAATGCTGAGCTTTCCCAGGTCACATATTATCATGTAGGGGATACAGAGCAAAGCTACCTCTACACTGGAAGGATTGGATGAGACAGATAGAGAACGGCGTAGATAATTAATAAGTCTTTGCATTTGATATAGCGCCTTATCGCATCTTCGAGGGTCTCAAAAGCGCTTCACAGAACGTGCTGTAAAGTGTAGTGACTGTATACTTTGTGAGCGAATTAGTTACACAGCAAAGATCTTTTGGATCTTCACCCTTGATGAGCAGAGTACCTCCCTCCAGTGACTTTCCATTTCCCCCACCACCTATCCTTGCTGTCTGTTCTTTCCAAGTGAGGCTGCCAATTCAGTGATGAATTACAGGAAGTTTGTGCTCTCTGCTTTCATCCTCCAGAAAGTGGGTCGAAACCAGCCCCAGACTTATAGTCTTTATAAACTTGGAAGAGAGAACCTTTTCTTCCTTCAGCCAGGAATCAAACCCAGGTCCCAAAGGTGAGACAAGTGTTCC